CGGCTCCAAAATAGCAGTTGTGTTCACATAAAAGCCTCTAATGAGAGAAAGATGCCGTTCTTGGCCCCTCGCGCGCTCTCTGCAGACGCTGTCTGGCAGGCCGAGTGGGCCTCTACCGTTTGGCAGGGAGAGGGGAGGAAAGGGAGGTGTGAGTCAGACCTTGGCCCCCAGCCCCTCTGCATGGACCGCCCTGCTAATTGCATTAACAAATGCCTCGATGCTGGGCCAGTTGGAGGCCAGGGCCAGGGAGCAGCCCCAATTCCCACGGGCTCTAGCAGGCATGAGGAGGGGGACCACGAGCGGGGCTGTGGCCCAGGGCTGAGGCATGGGTTCGCCTCCAGCTCCTGCTCCAAAGCAGAAGAGTGACTGTCCACCCTGTCACAGCCCCCAGGGCCTTGTCTGGAAGGAGACCGTAGTTCCGGAGCAGTCCCTGTAGATGAGAGATGGATGGGGAGGGGTCCTGGGACAGCCCCCATCAGGGACGAGCCTGGGGACCAGTCTTTTCCAGGGGAGCAGCTCCAGGGCATGAAAGAGAGTTGTGTGCAGACAGGGAGCCATCCAAGCCCTTCTACAGCAGCACCAGCTCCGTGCCCAGGGCCCAGGAAGGTCGGAGGGCAGCGCACCATCCCCACTTACAGCACAGCCAAGGCCAGGGCAGAGCGTGTAGGAGAGAGTGGCCTTGCTTGCATTTGAATTCCAACTGCGTGGCCTTGGGCACGTTTCTTCACTCCCGTGAGCCTCAGCCTCCTCATCTAGAAAACGGTTGTGCCTCCGATATTTACTATTTGCCTAAGATGGTAAGCAAGACAGACACTGCCCTCTTCTTTATGGCCCTTTCAACTTAGACGGACTGTCACAAAACCAGTGAACAAACAAGCAGAAGAACAGAAATCTGGTGGAAAAAGTTGGGGGGGGTGGTTGAGATCCAGAATAATGGGGCTCATGGGGGGAAGCTCTAGACTGAATGGTGAGGAGGGGAGCTTGAGATGGAGACCGGAAAGATGGCAAGGAGGCAGCCTCATAAAGAGAGGAGGAAAAGCAAGCCAAGAGAGCGGCATGTGCAACAGCCCGGAGGTAGCACCCCCCATCCAGGAGCCCAGGCTGGATTCGGCGAGTGGGAACGGGGCGGGGAGGGGTGGTTTGAGTGTTGAGAGATGAGGCTAGCTACACCATAGCAGGAAGGTTCTCACAGGGACGTTTTATGATCTAATTTATGGAGAAAGAGCCGGAGGGTAAGGCGGGCAGGAGGTAAGCAGTCAGCTGGAGGCTGCTGTCACCCAGAAGAGGGTACTGGACTAGAGGGCCCCGAACTACAGAGGCAGCAGGGGAGGCAGAGAGAAGCAGGCAGGTTCCCCAGAGATGTAGGAAGTAAAACAAACAGGGCTCACCTCAGATTGGCTCTAAAGCTTGAGGGAGAGGAAGGTGTCGCAGAGGGCCCCCAGGTGTCTGGCTTGAGCATTCAGGTAGAGCGCGATGCCTTTCAGCAGGGTGGTGAGACCTGCCAGGGGAGCTGGCTCAAAGGAAGGGAAGCCACGAGTTCGTTTTGGACAAGTTGGGGTGGGGATGTCTGGGAGGCATCAAGAGCAGATGTGGAGTAGGCAGCGGGACGAAGGAGTCTGGAGGTCGGAGGAGAGGACTGGCTGGAGATATATATACATCTGGGCGTCGTCAGCACGGAGACGATGTTTACATCCATGGGAATGCATTAGGTCATTCCGGGAGCAGTGCAGCGAGAGAGCAACGGAGAGGACCCAGGCCTCGGCTCTGGGAAGCCACGTTTAGTTGTTGGGTAGAGAAGCAGCAGCAGGGACACAGGAGGGGCAGGACAGAGAGTGACATGATGGCCACTCACGGGGTGAAGGGGATTGAGGTGTTTAGTTGGTCCCTGGCACACAGAGAGCTTTGCACTGTCATTGTTGCATGTTAATTATTTGGCATAGTACCTACTGGTGGTCAGTAGTGGGGAGCAAATAATGCTGACTGGGCTCCCATGCCCCCCCTTTTGTGTGGGGGATTTGGAAGGTCTGGGGAAAGTCCTGGGGTGGCCCAACATTACGATGCTGAGTAGAAAAGGAGAAGCCAGCCAAGGAGGTGAGAAGAGGCAGCTGGGGATGGCAAGAGGAAACTACCAGGTCACCCAAGTGATCATTCACCCACTTAGACCCTTAACAAGCATGTGCCAAGTAGGTAGAGAGGGCCAGCGCCACGCTGCTATCAACAGGACACGGCACCCGGCTTCAGGAGGCCCCTGGGTAAGAACATCTTCTAAGTGAGATCTTCAGGAGACACACCTGCTGACCAGGAAGATCTAAGGTGCCCGTAGGTGGTTGGGGGAGAGATGGATGATTCTCTTGCTGGGACTGCACCAGCATGTTAGCTGGGTCTCACTGAGGTCATGTGATTACTCCCTGGAGCCACCTCCACCACCCTGGCTCCTGGTGGCTGGTAACCAGTCAGTGAAGAACCTGCCAATCACACCCCTGCTCTGGCCCTTTTCCTGAACGTTTGTTCAGCACTTACCATTATGAGGCCCTGGGCTGATTTCTTTACAGGTATCTCTTTTCTTCCTTGTTATAACTACTGTAACTACTATTCTCATCCCCATTTGACAGATGGGGAAACTAAGGCCGAGGGTGGCCAAGCAGTTGCCTGCGATCACCATGCTGGTAAGGGATGAAGCAAAAGTTTGAACTCAAGGAGTCTGGCTCCAAAGTTGGGGTTTTTAGCTGTTGGGTTGAGGTCATTACAGGGCTGGGATAGGTGGGCTGAGAAGCTCCCGCAGTGAAGTCCAGGTGAAGCCCAGATCAGGAGGGTTGGAGTCCTTGTAGCACTGAGATGTGGACCAGAATGAAAGCCACGCAGAGGCTCTGGACCGAGGAGGCAGGAGCAATGCCCAGACCACGCCAGGATCTCCCGAGGGACTCCTGAGCACCGTGGGGAGTGCTCTGGAAGGGCTGATAGACTGGGGCTGCAGAAGGGCTAGAACAGCCCAGCACAGACCCAGGCTAGGCCCTGTATTATTCAGTACATACTTACTGAGCTTTTACTTTGTGTCCAGTGAACACTTGAGCGGCATGCTGGGGGCCAGGAGACACAGTCCCTGTTCTCAACATCAAGGCCAAGGGTGGATAGAGCACACAGAACACGCCAGGCCTTGAACTGAACATTCGGCGTGAGTTACCTCATTCGTTCCTTACCACTATGTGAGGCAGAGACTAATGTTAGTCGCATTATACAGGGGAGAAAACCAAGGCACAGAGAGCTTAAGCATCTTGCCTGTAGCCACGTAGCTAAGGTAACCCAGACAGGCAGCACAGTCTCCTGGGTCCAGATGAAGACAACAGCTAAACCTCCAGGCTCTGCTGCTTCCCAGCTGCAAGACTGGGACAAATAGCTAACCTCAAATGTAAATGGGAACAAAGATCAAATCTAGTTTATAGGGTTGTTGTGAGGATTAAACATTAATAACATGAAGTCCTGGCCCACAGTAAGAGCTACGGAGTTATAATTATTATTATTATTATTACTATTAATAATCTCCCCCAAACAACTCCATATAGGTTACTATACCCATTGTATGGATGAGGCTCTTTGGCAAACGAGGGCCAGTCACTTGCCTGAGGACACGGAGCTGGGCTTCAAACCCACCACTCCTTGGATCTGGCACCAGAATTCAAAGCACATGCTCTTCATATTAAACCCGGGGTTTGGAAGGAGTGATCCAGCTAGGCCCCTTCTCAACAACAGGGACTCCCCCCCGCCTCCCCATCCCCTAGGACAGCCCCTGCCCCAGGGCAGCTAGGCTGAGATAAATAAGAATTTAAAGAATTCTTCAAATCCTCTTCCCAGAGTGTGTGTGTGTGTGTGTGTGTGTGTGTGTGTGTGTGTGTGTGTGTGTTGGGGTTGTGATGAGGATGGGCCAGTCTGGGAAGACTGGACAATCTTCCAAAAGCCCTAATTATACACAGGACCCACTCACCCCCCACTCTACAGTCCTTCCCCTCAGTTGCGTGGGCCAGGCAGGCCCCAGTCCTCACCCTCCACAAATGCATGAATACATAAACCACATGGCAGAGCTGGCAAAGCCACAGAAGGACAGGTAGATACCAAGATGAGAGGACTCCACCAAGGTGGAGGGAATAGCTGTGGCTCCAACAATGGCCACCTACATATACAGTGGCTCCCCGACGTCCAGTGACTGGGCGGGGGTGACGGAAGGGGCCTGCCAGGGAGAGGGGCTGGTATGTTACAGCAACTTCAGATTCTGTGAGAGGAGGCAAGAGGGGGCAGGGAGTGGCCCCAGGGGCTCGGGCCATCATCTCCTGTGCATAGGCAGTAGTTGGATCCACAGCTATCTGGGAAACACCAGAGAACAGACTGAGTCTCCTCACGGTTTTGGGGCTGGGAGGATGTCACACACCCGTCCTTGTCAGCCCTCCCACCTGCTGTCCAACGAGTCACCCCACATGTGTGAGACTTCTAGGACAGTCATGAGCATTCCCCGGCATCGGCAGTCTCCGCTCCAGCCAGGGGGGCAGCTGTGGGGAGGGGAGAGGGAGCCGGCAAACCGTTGGGGGAGGTAGGAGAGCCAGCTGACAGGGTGTGCAGCCAAGAGCCCTACATTCTACAGAGTTCGGGACCCAGCCGTCCAGAGCCAACGCCCATTGTCCACGTGGTTCTCGTTAGACTCATTAGCAGAAAAACAGCAACAAGCAAGCAGCACAGGGCCCAGCTAATTAGCACACAGCCCTTCAGTGGACAAGCCGACTTCAAGTGGGAAAGGCTGACGCCCACTGGCAATTCCTCCAGGAGAAGTGCCAGCCTGTGTGCGTGGGTCAGGGGATGGCCAGGGAGCTGCAGGGTGGGAGGGCCCGGGAGGGAAGTAACAGGGGCTGAGGACCCCCAGCGGGGAGTGGGGGTTGGCAGCATTCTGGGGCAGCCCCCTGCTGGGGCACGAGGGTGTCCACACACACGTTGGTTCTGACAATCTGCAGACTCACCCAGCTTCGAGTTTCCAATGTCGAAACTCGAGTTTGGCAGAGACTCATGCTGGAAAATCACGTGCAAGTCAGGAAACTGAGAACTCCGGGGACTGGAGGGCAGAGCAAGGCCCATGCCCAGACCTCTCGGGTAGCTGGTGAGAAGCCCACCCCCTCTGGAGCCACTCTGCTCCAACTTCAACTCAAACCTCAGCAACACTCTCTGCTAAGCTGGCTAAAGCTTTCCAGCCCTCCTCCCAACTCCGACCCCAGTCCCTTCCAAGGCCTCCGGAGTCTCCCAAGGCCCAGCTACTCAAAGTGTGGTCCCTGGACCAGCAGCAGCAGCATCCCCTGGGAACTGTTAGAAGCACAGACGCTCAGCCCTGCCTGATGTGCTGAATCAGAATCTGCACTTTAATAAGATCCCAGAGGATTCAGGGGAACAATCAAATTTGATAGCCCCCCACCACCCTTGCCAAGGCAGATATTCCTATGAGTGACCCCAAACTCTCAGTGTCTTCGGCTCTGGCTCGAATCACCTAGGGCTGTGGTCAGCAAACTGCGGCTCATGAGCCGCATGCGGCTCTTTGGCCCTTTGAGTGTGGCTCTTCCTAAGCCTTAGGAGTACCCTAATTAAGTTAATAACAATGTACCTACCTATATAGTTTAAGTTTTAAAAATTTGGCTCTCAAAAGAAATTTCGATCATTGTACTGTTGATATTTGGCTCTGTTGACTAATGAGTTTGCCGACCACTGTCCTAGGGTGATTAAAAAAAGAAAATACCAAAAACCAGAGCTTCTGCTGAGCATAAAACTACCTGCTACACACATCCCTGGCTTCTCTGCCCGGGGAAGTCACTGATTTTGAGTCTCAGATCCTCCTCTAATGAGGTGTATGCCCTTGAGCTAGTCACCACTTCTCTGCATCTCACTGTCTTCATCTTTAAAATTATGAGGTACCCCTCTCCCCCCAGCCACAGAGAGCCTGTCCTCTGAGAGCCCACACCAACCCAGGGTCTTTGAAAAGGCAGGAATTTCCAGAAGAAAGTGTGTGTTGCTGCTTGTTTTTGAATTTGGGGTTTTGATTTCTTTATCTGCAGATCCTAGAGAGGCCCAAGATTCTGCCTGAGCATCATTGTCTGACTGGGGGAGGTCAAGGCCATGAGGTCTGAGACAGAACCAAGAGCTTGGCCAGCCAGCATCCCCATCCCCACAGGAGTGGAAGCAGCCCCATCTCGTCCCCACCTTGGGCCAGGGGGGCGGGGGGCGTCAGAACCAGAGATGAGGGCCTCCGTCAGGCCTGGGAACACCGTAAGTTTTGTCAGGCGTCAGGATACCCTCACATTGCAAAGGGCCCAGGGGTTTGTCCTGGGGCAGGAAGGAGTGCTGGTGAGACTGAGGCCTTGCAGCCAGGTTTAGGGCCTGCTGGTGGCAGCTCCAGGAGGGAAAGTTTCGGGGAGATCCTAGAAATGCCATACAGATGTGGGGAGCTGATGAGAGCTTAAGAGGGGCCCTGGGTGTGAGAGAGAAAGATCCCAGGGGCTTGCTGAAACCCCCACATCTGTCATTAGGTGTGGGGATTCCAAACTCCAGAAGGCCCCAGCCTCAGTTGGTGTTTAGAAGGAACAAAACCCCGTAAGAAAGAGTGTGGGGTTTTGGAGTCAGACTGCCTGGATCCAGCCCTCTCTCCGGCACTTGGGGTAGAATATCCTTGGCCGTGTTTCCCAACTAACATGAGCCTTGGTTTCCTTGTCTGTAAGTGGGGATGATCAACAAATACTCATGTTATAGGATTGTTGAGAGGCTTAACTACAATAATGTATGTGAAGAGCTTAGCACAGTGTTGGGAACATAATAAATCCCAAGATATTAGCTAGTAGTGCAGTAATAGTAGCAGCAGGAGTGGTAGCAGTTGTGATAGTAATAGTGGTAGTAATGGTAGTAGTAGCAGCAGTGATGGTGGTGGTAGTGGTAGTAATGGCAGTAGTAGTTCATTGTCTTCCCAACACAGATGTAGAAAGTGAGGCCCAGAAAGTAAGATATTTGCCAGGAGGGTGTAGTGATTAAGAAAAGGGAACCTGGCCTGGCCGGCGTGGCTCAATGGTTGATTATGGACCTATAAACCAGAAGGTCATGGTTCAGTTCCCGGTCAGGGCACATGCTCAGGTTGCCAGCTCAATCCCCAGAGTGGGGCATGCAGGACGCAGCTGATCAATGATTCTCTCATCATTGATGTTTCTCTCTCGCTCTCTTCCTCTCTCTCCCTCCCTCTCCCTTCCTATCTGAAATCAATAAAAATAAAAATAAAAACAAATTTTTTTTTAAGAAAAGTGACCCTGGAGTCAAGTCACCTGAGTTCAAATCCTACCATTTCCAGGTCATGTGATCTTGAGCAAGTGACCTGTCTATGCCTCAGTTTTCTCATCTGCCTAATGGTACTACCTACCCCAGGGGAATGTAACTGCACCTTGCACAAAGTAAGTACTGCATGGGCATTGGTTCTTGCCCTTGTTACTGCCTCTGCCACCATCAGTGGAGGCTTGGGGGCAGACCCCCTGGCTCCTCCTGCCTCACTCCCTGGTTCCCACCTAACTAAGAAGACTACTCTCTTTTCTTTTCTTTCACCTGGGCCAGCCTGCCGGGCTTCAGAGCAGGCCAAAGGAAGGCTGCTCCCGACGCGGGATCAGAGCTCATCAGACTGTCCTGGCAGGATGCCGGAGAGTGGATTCCCATAGGACACAGCGTAAATGGTGCCGGGGGAATGTGCAATGCAGAGGCTCTGGGGCCAGCCACATCCTACCACCACAGGGCGGTGGGCACTTAAGGGACCCACACAATGGGACAGCAGGAAGGACATGTAGGAAGCTTAAAAAACATAAGTGGGGCTTTTATTTGAGAAGTTGTTTTCAGCCTGAGGCATTTTATAATCTCCTCCCTTCCAGGGCACGTTGCCTCTACTCCCAGGAGCTCCACTGGGGAAGACACACCAGGTCTGGAGCCCCCCTGCTCGAAGGAGAGGGAAGGAGAAGGGGGGATGGGGAGGAGGCACTCACGTTTGATGCAGTGGTTGGTGCTGTTTGCCGTTGTCCATCCCGGGCAGCACTTTCCCCCGCAGACGTTCCTCCTGTGAAGTTACCAAAATGGGGTCAGGTATAAGGATGCTCAGAGAGGGACTATTCACACAGCCCCGCTATTGGTCCTGCCCTCTGCAGAACCCATCAGGCTGTGCAGACTGCCCCCCTTATCTAGGGAGGGGCAGGCACTTTGGGATCCTGCAGATCTAATACTAAACCCTGACTGTCATTCTCTGCTGGACGTTGGGGAACCTCACTCTCTCCATCTGTACAGTCCAGAGCCCCCTGGGTCAGTAATGACAGTGATCATGAAGATGATCAAAAAGCAAGGCCAGAGAGGTTCAGTCACCTGCCAGGGCTAAACAGTAAGTGAGAGCCAGAACCAGATTCCAACCTGAGTTGCCCCAACTCTAAGTCACGCTCCAACGTCACATTGCCTCTCACCAAAAAACAAGCACCACAGTTCTCGCCCCACAAATGCTGACAATCCAAGGGGAGCAGGAAGACACACATAGAACTGTCTGAAGGACATACATATGCATCACCTGCCCACAAATCACACTGGGAGGAGCCTTGGCCCGCGGGCAGGCTTACACAGTAAGACTGAGCACGGGGCTCTAGCATTTCTATGTAAGCAGGGCTTGTGAGGGGCCAGCTGCTAGGAAGGTGGGGCTGGGGACTGGGGTTAAGCAGCCTCTGCTTAAGGAGCACTCTGTTTTAACTCGGGCAGGCTGATGGGACTTACTCTATGGGACACCGTCCTTCTCCCAGCTCCTCTTTGGTGCTGGCCCTGGGGCCACCCATAGGAAACACTGGCCTGCACTGACCACTGGGGCACTCAGCCAACTCGCCCGAACTGTGCTTTCAGTGAAGGCCCCCTGCAGCACCAGCAGGTGTCACCAGCCCTGACTCTCCGTCTAAAGACCCAGATGCCTGGATCTGGGTGATTTCCCTAGCGAGGCTCTTCCCGGAGAAGACCTCTGGGAGCCTGACTCCTTGGCTCAGGGTGGGCCTGGACCTGGCTTCCAGGACCTCATCATTAGCATCAGAGTGTCTACCGAGCACTCACTGAAACTCAGGGTGAGTGTGGTGGCTGAGGCACAGAGCGGGAGGGTCAAGGCGAGGGACAGAGCAGGGGGCCATCCCTGTGACCTCTGTGGCCAGCATAGTGAGCATCTGCTCCCACTTAGGAATTTGTTTGACGTTTGAGTGGACCCCAAGGCTTGCGTGGTTTTGGAACCTTCCAAAACATTCCAAATAAATTCCTACGGCTTGGAAAAGCTGAGGTTCATTCTTGGCCCTTTGGCCCAACCTCCCAGGGAGCTCCCAGAATGTCCCCCCAGCCAAGGGCTGTGCCATTCCGGCCACCTCGAAGCCTTCAGCAGCTTCCTGGCTCCTTGATGGCCTCCTCCCCAGCAGGGCCCAGGCACCGGGTTCTGGGGAGGGAGCTAGTTCTCATACCCAGGGTTTCTGAATGGGTACCCTGGTAGAAGGGGGCAACTACCCACCAATTTGTAAGTCACTACCCCTGGTTGGGCAATGATGCTGCATATTGGGCTAATGTGCAATTAGCAGCTTTGATAAAGGCCCAGGAAGTCTTCAAAAGGAAACAGGCTGCATTCCCTGGGAGTTTTCTAAGAACTAGGGCCTGTGGGAGCCCAGATAGCATGAACTGAGGGGCCTGCCTGGACGGGCAGTCATGGCATGGAGCCCTGCCCAAGGAGGCCCCCTCAGCCAGCTGTCACCTCAGGATGGCTTTGCAGCTGACTGTAGGAGGGCAGCAGTGGAGCCTGCCTTGCCTGCCCATGGTGGAACCCTCAGGGCTGTCAGGAGGGTTCCGGAATCAAAGGCTGCCAGGCAGTGGGGATGGGAGGAGCAGTTTGAGACTGGAAAGGTACTCAAGAGGGATTCGGGTTCTCCATGAGGGCCTGAGGGTCCTTTATACTGTAGGCCAGTATTGGAGTCTTGAGTAGAGGCCCAGGGAGGTGGCCATTCAGTGGGCTCTGCCCAGCTAGTGAGAGCAAATGAGCCTGACTAGCTGGGGTGTATGACTCAGTGGTCTGACTTCCCGGGAAGTCCCTCTTAGAGATCATATGAGCCCAACCTTCCAGGTGACACCACTCAGCAAACATGAGCCCAATATGCAGCATCATTGCTCAACACTTGGGGACACTTCTGGCTAACAGCTTGGGACAGTTTCTGTTCCACCTGGAACAAATCTGACCAGACTAATCCTTTGTTAAAAACCTCCCATGGTTCTCTATTGTCCTCTACAAAGCTAACCAGGCCCCCACCTGCCTCTGCAGTCTAATTGTCTCCATCACCCCTCCCTGTCTCCATGACATCCATAACCAAGGCTGTGATCCTCCGAGGATATAAAGACTATCATCTGCCAATTGCACTCTCTATGGTCACATTTTGATGCCTTTGCTTAAGCTGCTCTCTGCCTAGAATGCCTTCCTTCTCTTCTTTGGCAATTAAAATCCTTTCCACTCCAAGATTTCCAAATCAAATGTTACCTCCTTTGTGTAAAACCTCCCCTGACATCTACCCAGCCTTCCCCACTCTCCATTTCCTGTGCTCTTTAAGTATTGATTGTCTCAGGATGTTGGTTTTATTTGACTACCTTGAGGGCCCTTTCTTATTCCTCTTTGTGCTTCTAGAGTCTAACACAGTGCCTGACACGTGCGATGCATTTAATACTTATTTGTTTCACTTCACCTAGTGTTTCCCAAAAAGCAGATGAGTAACACTGAGGGCAGGAAAGTGAGTTTTAGGTTTCCACAATCACAGCATTCAACAATTCTGAATCACATGGTGAGAAAGTGATTCCCATTTCAGTGATTTTCTAGCCTGATTAGGTCAGTGAAAAAAATCTGCCTGAGGCTGAGTCCTTCCCCCAACACTTGCCAGTCCCCCTTTTAACAGGGAGAACACACCACAGGATTGAGCTTCTTAAGATATAATGTCTGACTAGAATAGGAGAACAATTTATTTTCATTTCAATTTTCCTACAGTTATCTTCTGTTCATGACAAGTGGTACTATTTTCAACTTATGATGGTGATACAAAGTTTCCTTGAAAATAAATTTATTTATGTAGAAAAATGAGTCAAGCCCTGTTTATAATAGCAAAAAAAAAAAAGTGTAATTTATCTAAATGTCCCAAAACAGGAGGATGGTTAAATAAACTGTGGTATATTCAGATAGTGGAATAATATACAACAGTTCAAATGAATATAAACTTGGGTTGCCCTAACTGGTTTGGCTCAGTGGATAGAGCGTTGGCCTGCGCACTAAAGGGCCCTGGGTTCAATTCCGGTCAAGGGCATGTACCTTGGTTGCAGGCACATCCCCAGTAGAGGGTGTGCAGGAGGCAGCTGTTTCTAACTCTCTATCCCTCTCCCTTCCTCTCTGTAAAAAAATCAATAAAATATATTTTTTAAAAAAACTTGGGTTAATTATATTAACATGTTTAAATCTCAAAACTCTAATGAGGAGGAGGGAAGCAACTTGTAGAAGGATAATACAGCATGGCATCACTTATCTATGTTTAAAATTTGCAAAAGAAATTGTTATTTTGTGGATGCATGCATCTGCAGTAATAGTATAAAAACATACATTGGAATCATAAGTACCAGTAACTTTAGGGTAGAGATGGAGGCAAATTTATAGAAGAAATGTCAACTAAAAAAATCAGAAGCAAACTGTGCCAAAATATTAAGGTTTGATAAAGCTGGGTTGTGAGTTATATTATATCTAACACCTTTTTGTGTGTTTGTACAAAACTTCATAATATAAAATACTTTAAAATAAATAAAACACAAAATCCTGTTATTTTAACAGTCTATAAATTTAAAGAAAAACAATAGAGCAAGAGATATAAGGGGGAAATATTATAAAGGCATTATGCCTTGAGGCT